GATATAAAAGCCTACCTTTTCTACCGATGAACTCTTAGAGGTCTTGGGGCTAGCAGTACCTTCGTTCTCCAGCGATTTGTTGCTAAATCAACAATATGATAAGAATATGATCTGTTTTTGAGATCATGGCTGCTGACTCACTCTACTTTCTTTTAGATTTTTGTTTTCAAACATGAGCACAAGAAACGGCAGCCTACGAAAAGGAAATCAGTTGAAATTTTGTCTTCAAATAAAAAATCACGTTCTTAATGTTGGACGAAATGTTTGTTCTGGCAATGAATCACGACACGAACCAGAAATGGTCTGTGTCAAGTTCGTTTTGGTGACAGCGATGGCATATGGCTGTCACCAAAACCACCGATGTTATTCAGCAGAAAACCTCGACATTGATTCTTACTGTGGTATTTTCCTAGTTCGTAAGGAGAGTGTTAATAAGTAAGTCGAAGAATATTTGAGCACTGAGAAACGCCTACCACAGGCGTTAGTGATATTAAGTGAAATGTTCGTTAAACCAGTTGCAACAACTGCTGGCGACAAAACAGTAAGATATTCCATTATCGGCTAGTCAAATGGTTCTAATTGATTCAAACTGAAAAGCGGCCAATCATTTTTTAAAGGACCTAATTGAACATAATGAGACTTGAGTTCATACGAATATAGAAACATTTCAGCGTAATAGTGAAGAGAACAGATGAAAATCTTAGAATCGAACCTGTGAAGTCGAGCCTCGGCTTTTTTGAGCCTTTTTCTATCCTTCTCCCTTCTTTTTTCTTCCCACTCTGCCGCTTCCTGCTCGCTCTCTCCAACCGAGTCAATCGTATATGTCTCTATGGCCCGGTTGTCTTCTTCCGTGAACATATCAGCCCAACGTCGCTGCAATTTGTTAGCATTTTTGGTAGCTTGCAAACAGCAGATCTTTTAAGTACTTACGCCTTTTTCGTGGAGTTCTTTTGCAACCATAGTGATACGATCATTGATGATTCTCCTGAAGTACGAGGCATAAGGCCTACAGACATCCTTTATGACTTGCTTTGTGCTTTGTAATAAAAATGAAGTGGGCTACAGCCGTGCTACCCTGAAGGATCGTGATGGATATAATANCTTTTTCGTGGAGTTCTTTTGCAACCATAGTGATACGATCATTGATGATTCTCCTGAAGTACGAGGCATAAGGCCTACAAACATCCTTTATGACTTGCTTTGTAATAAAAATGAAGTGGGCTACAGCCGTGTACCCTGAAGGATCGTGATGGATATAATAGTGAAATCAAGTGAAATGAAGTGAATCAAGTGAATAGTACTGAACGCTGAAGACGGTATAGTGTGCTTGTGGCATCGGATTCCTGGGACCTGAACCAAGTTTGGGCAGAGGTGGTATAAAGGAAGCATTATCACAAACATATGGTCTACTACTTTGAATTGATTCTTAAAAAGTTTGGAAGTTGCTTGGCAAGTGGTCATTCTAGTAGCGTAAAGAAAGGGGTTGTCAAAAAACTGTGATATTCGATGAAGCGGATGGGATATATGAAGTAGCACTGTCCACACTGCATGGTCCGTGCATCCAATCCCGGATCGATACTCGCCCAAGCCAACCAAATCCCTACCCTTCCAGAGTCCGTTAATTGGTACAGGACTGGTCTGGAAGGATAAAAGCACCGACTTGTACATGGGCTGACCAATGCAAGTCATTGTAAAGGCCACTCATGCATTCAAAACGCTACTACGATTCTGAATAGAGCTCGGATGCGGGGCGTATCCCAGGAACGTAACTGATTGATGACGAAATACTTTATCGTTCATCTCTATTTTAACTCAAGGTGGCAAAGTGCAATTAGAACGGAATGACCAGTCGTCTGTTAACAGTATAATTAAGCCCATACTGCACATCCCTTCGAATTAGCCTAATTACATAAAAGCGTGGAGAAGAAATCAGCGATCACTGGGAAACAAAACAGCGGCTGTATTCCCAAGAAACAGAATAATCTACACTCCTGTTGTGGGCTACATGACTGTCATCTGCCGTAAGTACTAAAAAGGCGAATACACACGTACTACACTAATGGAACTTTACCATTATGCAGCCAGCATTGTTTACAGGATGCTCGGTCATGTGTCCAAAATTGTTTTAAAATTTTGTTTTTAAAGGTGAGCATCAGCTAAGCATTAAAGTCTTTCATCCAACGAAGACTCAGTGCTGTCCCCAGGCTCTTACACCAACTTCGTTGTAAAGTATTTACTTCATAAGAAGTGTCTTGAAAAACCAACTGAAAATCACAACTAATTCATTTTTCTACCTCAAGTTATAGTATATAAGAAGCAAAAAAAAAGAGCCAGGTGTAAAACTCCGGAATCGGACTGGCATTCGTCCGTGTTGTTCCATACCGAAAACCCATGACACCGCCTTATTCTGTCTTGTTTATCGTTATCAAAATAAATTTTCAGAAGTCAGGAGAGTTGATGAGGAAGTCGGTATGATTGCGTGAACTCAAAGCCTTTTTGATTTGTTATCGATCAGAATCAAAACAGTGGGTGGCTCGTTGGTTAAACTGGACTACTATATATGTACAGAATTGGAGGTAATTGTATATAAATACTGATAGACCTATAAGTTGCGGAAAATTTCACAATTAACTATAGAAAAACCTTGTAATTCAGGTAAGATCAGAATTGGTGAAAAACCAACTTACCTGATCTCATTTCTGAACTCTTTGTTGTCCATAGTTGAAGCGATCGACGAGACAGCACAATGCTAATCGTGGGCCTCAAGAGGTACCTCGAAAAATAATATAACATTCCTCAAAGCCAATTTTTCTCCGACGAAACTTCACCTTTTCAATCTATCGATTTACCTACCATTCGAACATGTTGGAATATGACGACCACCTGGGCTTACCGTAACCATTTTCACTACAGTAACCAACAAAAACGAGATTGAAGCTCACCTGAGAACACGTGAATGAACGAGTTTAAAACAACACTAACGAATCAGTGGTTAGAGACCGCTTAAAATCAGCATAATGATAGGCTACAAACGCCAACAGTAATCATGCAATCGCTTTGGGAACACTGGGTTAGAACTGTGAAACACTTGATCTGCAGGAAGGTGTGTTTTTCGTGCTATTTCACCGGCAAAAAGGAAAACGAGTAAAAATGCTTTAAAGCTTTCTCAATTAATAAGATTGAGTAGATAGCTTTTTAGAAAACAATGCAGTGTAACTGTTCATATACTACATCGACAAAAAGGAAGGTAATGGATATGACTTGATCGATGAAAATTATTTTAGACATTCCAGTTGAGTTTCATTTTCCACCCTTACCTGAAGCATCATGCTTACTATTTTCAAGAAAACTCTGGGATTTTATGTTCCAAATAGGACGGATGTGGTGCAGTGGCAAGTAGTGCACTGTCACACGCACGGTCACGGGTTCGAACCCCGCACCCGTATCTGTCTGGGACAACCAAGCCTTTGTTCTTTCTTGGGTCGGTTAATTGGTACAGACTCGTGTGGGAGGATAGTAGCATTGACTTGTACATCGGCTGGCCCGTGCAGGTCATTGTATATGTAGGACCCCTGAATACACGGGCCCATCACAAAAGTGGAGCAGACTAGCGCTAAAAGTTTCGAAAGCACGCTTTGAAAGCATCATATCGGAAAACCGTCAAGCTTGTACCGGCTACATGTCACACCCAAAAACGGACGAGTCTCAACGGCCTTGTAGAGGCCGCATCATTTCAAGGGACTCCCGTGTTAAAAGTTAACCTTAAAGTCAAGTCAATTACTAATCGTGACCCATTGCGGCAGTGGAAAAGAGTTTTTTTTTTATCTGATGCAGTCAGCTTTTCACGCAATTGTATCAACTGCAATCTCGTCCAAATAACATTTGACCTGCTTCCGTCATGGTAAACTCGTACAGTCCTTGTTCTCGCTACTTTGAAAAGCTTTGATTTAATTAGGCGCTAATTAGGCATTTTTTCTCGCTTTCTTTGTTTCGAAGCACTCTCTGAATAGGGTACCTCAAAATAATCGTGAACAATGTCTTTCACCTTTCAAATGTTCGGCGCATGAAGGGGAATTATCTACTGCAGTCTACAATACCCTAGATCCTTTGCCGCTTCTCATTGTAGGTAGTATCTGCCCGATGGGAGTATTGCTGTTACTCTACTTACAATGCTACTCTCTTTGCTATTACTCATTCATAAGGTGTACTTATGGAGTCTCGGTAGTGTACTGGATACGACCATGATGCCCACTGAACACAGGTTAAGTTCGAATCCCGTTGGAAGCCGAAAATCCTGCCTTCAATGGAGCAGCCCTGCAATCTTTCTGACATAATTCAAATAACAATACATCTAGAAAATGTTATTCAGTGAAAAGTATTCAACGTAGTTCAAGTTTGAAAAAAGGTCTATCAAATGAGAAGAATATACAGAGAGGACGAATTCAAATTTTTTTACAAACATACAAGACGTTAAAAGCAAAGCTTGGTGTGGGGACAATAGATATGTCGGTAAAACCGGCTTCTTCATCGATCCAAGTCCAAGAGCGTCTATAATAAACACATTACGCAAGAGAAGAGTCCACATCGTATTCCCAGCGAAACTTCTCACCGATTTCCCGCGTTCGCTTTGCGGCATGCGGCAAATCTTTTTCAGTTGTCTCGCGGCTTCAAACTTCTAGTTCCGCACCCACCCCGTCTCATCGCTAATCGATAGGACGCAATATTTTTTTTGTTAACTGCCTTTCTTTTCTGATTGGTTTTGATTGTTTTTTTTCTGTTTCGTTTTCATGTTTATTAGACTTGACTATACGAAATGACCGTTTCGGAGTTGAAGGGAGTGGCCGGCGAATTCGAATAATTAAAGGGCTCCTCAACTCACTAATTGCCCCTTCAATATTCCATCGCATTGGCTGCTTTCATA